TTTATTATATATATATATATATATATATATATATGTAACGTGTAAGCCATACATGATATCGAGATTCGTAGTATTCCAAATAAATTTGGAACTCATGTAACTCGTAGTTACTACTAAATCACAAAATAGTACATTACATACAATTGGACCATGAACATATAGATATAGAAAATAAGTTGAGGCCCAGTTTTTAAGAAAACCTTTCAGAAAAGGCCCCTCAATTATAAGGATTAGTTTAGTAGCACCCTCCAAAGTATTGTCTCTACGTCTTGCTTAAACTTGAGAGTTCATTTGGGGATCTTGAAGATTTTTACCATCTTTAGCTTCTCCATTTTCACTGTCCAAAGATGAAATATTAACTGGATAAACTTCAGAATTTACTTTTGTTGGCTGCTCTTGATCCACCTTTACCACGATGGGTAATTCTTTTTCTGTTGCAACGTTGTTTGACTTGGAATTTCTATATATTCCATAGAGTATCATTTGAAGCACTCCAAGTATCATTCCCGGTATATTTGGTACCTGATTTTTATTATGTTCCCAAACATTAGTCATATGGGCACAAATTATGTTAACTTACAATCCTATTAGGTCATCTAAATAATAATTATATATATACATATGTAATTGTTTATCCTAGATGACATTTGATGTGTTTTTATACTGACATTTTGACAGTCAGTTTGATTAACCTTCTAAGTTAATTTGGATCAACTCTAACATTTAAAAAAAGTTATACTTGAATTTTTTAAAAGCAACATAAAAAGTATCGATCTTTCTCAATACAGTACAATGAAAACATATGTCAATTAAAGTTTAAATAATTTGAATTTCAAAAAATAAAAAGTGTCACTTAAATTACGATTGACGAAGCAACTTATAAAATAATTACCGCGACATAGACGTCCTTCAAAAGCAAACCATACAAAAACCACATTACAGCACTAACTGTAAGAGCTAATGACAAGTTAAATGGCATGAATTCCACACTTTTGGTCCTTATTACACGTCCCTGCAATTTTACAAAAAAAAAATGAAAGAATTAAATGGTGTTAATTAGAGAAATGTCTAGGCACTAAATAACTAAGTTATCATAATTAAAAATTTAAAGAACATCCTAAGCCCCTAACTATAAAAGCATAAAAAAGAATCGTAAAACTTAAAAA